ACGAGAAAACAAAAAAATTGCTTAAATATTTAAAAACGAATTAAATATACATCGAATTCAATTGATTGATTGATTGATTGTTTATAATAAAATTCTTGTGATTAGTTCATTTTAAAACCACAAATGAAATTTTTACTAATTTGATTTTTTAAATATTCTTTTATGATTAAAAAAAAATTTATTTTTTTTTTTTTTTACTTTTTTTTTTTTTTTTTTTTTTAAACAATTCAAAAACAACATTTGCTTTGCATATACGGATTGCTGCCATATTTCCAACCTTTTTTTTTATTTACGTAAATCAAATAAATTTGCAGGGTTAAAAATACATAATTGAAATTTTTTCATCGATCAAAGTGGCAAGAGAATTATTACTGAATAAATCAAAAGTAAATTTTTTTTTTTTTTTTCGAAACATTCAATCATTTTTAATTTTAACGATTTTCGGAAACGAAATAAATGCCCATAAGTAACACACACACATTAATATTGATGATTGTTTTCCCCTCGTTTTCAACAACAAACAAACAAACATTATTTGGCCGTGTGCTTTCATAATTTATTTGAATTGTGTTTGTTAGCAATCCGATGACGTATGCAAAACTCGATAAAAAAAACGATTAATAAATAATTTAAAAAGCAAAACCGAATAAATAAAAATAATACGTTCATTTGTTTTACTGAACCCAAGATGCTGGAACCCAGAGTGGATCGCTTTCGACTCTATGAACGATTCGCAAAAGTTGTTCAAAGGCAGAAGATAAATCGGAGTTGATTATGACTTCATCGAACAAATGACTGTATAAAAATTCAATTCTTTCGCTACTTTTAATAATGTCATGAAATTCATCGTCCTTGAAAAAAGAAAAAAAAAAAAAATATTTAATAGGGATTTCGCAGTTTTGTGTCAATTTATTAAATTCGTTAGATAGAAATTTCTCATACCGTAAAACCTCTAGAATTTGATTCGTCAAATGTACTTCTAGCATGAGCAGACGTACGAGATTCTTTGAGTTCTTCAAATGATGGCGGTTTAATGTATATAATAAAAGGCTTTAACTGAGGTGTTCTTAACATTTTCAATGCTTGATAATGAGGATTCAAAATACAGACGTAACCGGCGTTAACGAGAGATTTCACACTTTCCGAAGACGTCCCGTATAAATTTCCCTTGTATTCTCCAAATTCTATAAATTTTCCACTTTCGATTTCTTTTTCCATTTCTTCTCTTGTTACAAAATTATATTCTCTTCCGTTGACTTCGCCGGGTCTGACCGATCGAGATGTAACTAAAAGAACAAGTTGAAAGATTCAAAAATAAATAAATAAACAATTTTAATTTTGAATAAAAAAAAAAAAAAAAAAAAATTTAAAACATACATGGAGTTGGCGTTTTGTACTTTTCCGTATCCGTGGCGATGAGTCGTCTTTTGAGTTCGTTACGGCCAATACCAGGTGGTCCTATGAGAATGATTGGTCGATTTAATCCAGTTCTGGGATATAATTTGGCAACTTCTTCGTACGTGGGTATTTCTTCGCGATCAAAATCGTCATTCTCTGCAGTGTCATACATAATAGTTTTAGTTTTTGAACGGGACGTGAGAGTGCAACGAGGTGATTTTGGGGACTGGCAGCCGGGAAGGGATATCGAGGCTAAAGCTGAAACAGAACACAGACCTGCACACAATTAGTAACAAAATGAAAAAAAAAAATAATTAAAATAAAAAGATGAACACACATACGTTCACATGAAAGCGAACACGAATTTTTTTTAGTGTTACGTAAACAATAAAAAGCCCTAAACGTATCCAAAAAAAAAAATAATAATAATAATAATAAAAATAAAAAAATACCATGCTTGAAAAAAAAAAATGCATTTAACAGTCATTTTAATATTTCCTTCGTTTAAAGTGTGGGAATGCTCATGCTCATGAAAATTCTGTGAAAATGTGCACATTTTATAAGAACTTAAAAATGTTAACAATCAATAAAAAAAAAAAATTAAAATAAAATTTTTGAATCATGAGTGAGAATAACATAAGCATGTTGAGTGATAATTAAAAAAAAAATTTAACCTAATACAATTAATTTTTTTTTTTTTTTTTTTTTTGTCATAAGCTTTAAAAATTTATTTTTCATTTACATGCAATTTGAATTTTAATTAAAAGCTAAACAACATCCAATCGCCTCGATATTGATTTATTGGAATGTTGAAAGGCTTAGGAAGGTATCAAGTTAGGTATTTTAATATATATGAAAAATATTTATAAATTGATTATTAACAAAATATTTTTCCTAAAATTTAAAATTTCTCTATAATATATATATATATATATACTTTTTTTCTCGACTTAATTCTTACTTTATTTTAAGGGATTTTTTTTTTTTAATGGCGACGTCTTTAAAAAAAAAAAAAAAAAAAACATTTTCTTATTAATAAGTTCAAGTAGTACCTAAGGCATGTGAACCGTCCTGAATAATTAAAAATTTATTTCAATAAATTTTAATAAAAAAAAAACTTTTCAAAAAATACCTTCATCTTTGGTTTTGTCTGTTTGAGCACGTTCGTGTAAAATTCTCCTTTCTTGGAGTGCTCGACTAGGAATCAATCCAGCTCTCATATTACGATCCCCTTCTCTTCTGGCTTGCCACCAATAAGCATCATCTTGACTGACTATATGCAAAACATCTCCTTTTTTAAAATCCAATCCAGCTTCTTTGCACGGTATGTATGGATCAACAGATGAGTTATAATCGAAATGAGACCTTACTCTTACTTTGCTTTCTCTTATATTATGTTTACTGTCTGCAGGGACTAGCTTTAGAGTGATTGTTCCCTCAGAATTTTGCTAAAAATTTAATTTGTATCTTAGTTTTTTTTAAATTACATTAAATTTACAAAACATTAATTTAATTTTAGAAAGATGATACCCACCAAAATTTTAAGAACATCATTTGGTGTTTTCCCTTCGACATTTATCCCATTCACTTCAACAACTTCATCACCGACATGTATTAAACCGCTTCTATCAGCTGCACCACCATGCATTATTCTAGCAACTATAATTTTACCAGTTTCTTCATCAGCCTTTATAGTTGCACCCTAAAAAAAGGTTTTAATGCAATTTTAGTAGAAGATTTAAATTTAATGAAAATAATTTATAAGCTAATTTTAACAAAGAAAGAAAATTGAAAAAGCAAAAAAAAAAAAAAAAAAAAAAAAATTAAATTTATTTCATTTTATGATTGAAGAATTAGTAATTTATTTTTAAAAAATTATAATTTATTAAAATCAATAAATTTTTTTTTTACAATTATGTTTCACTACAAAAATTTTCTCCAAAAAAAATTTCTATTTAAAAATTATAAAGTATGTTACAATTAAAAAAAAAAGATAAATTAAAATTTTCACTAAACAATTAAAAATAGCACATAAAATACATTGAACTGTGCATTTCACTTAAAATACATTTTTAATACTTACCACAATCGGTTCTAAATTTTGTCCACCAATCTTGGAAAGCACAAATTTAAAAAGCAATAATTTTATAAGTGATAAAGAGAAGGTTATAAAGGTTTTCCTATGCAAAACAATTTTAGTTGCTGTTTTGTCGCCAAGCATTTATAATCCTCTCGAAATCATTTATTATTAAATCTTTCAAAAATTTCATTAAACAATTAAATTCTGTCTCAGGCATTTAATGTTTTTTTTTTTTTTTTTTTCTTCAATAATTCAATTTTGTTTAAATAAAAGCAAGCATTCTCCAATTAGCATAACTAAATTAAATCATCAGGAATTTTCTCGATAGAATACACTTAACTGACAAAATAAACAGGCAATACTTTGAGTTTAAAAAAAAAATAATAATAATTAATAATAGTAATAATATTTTTTATACAAAACAGCATACACAAGCAAAAAAAAAAAAAAAAGAATTTTTTAAATATATTATAAATCATGTAGAATTTAATTTAAAAAAAAAAAAAAAATTTCATTTTTATTCTTCAATCACTTTTCTCACAAGACTCCTACATTATAAATTTTTAAATAAATTTTAAAAGAATTCAACATTTAATTTTACTTACCAACGGCTCATTACTTTTAACAAGCTGTACGATTTTGATGGTTTCTTCATCTTCATCGACTTCAAGAGGAATCTCTGGTAATCTAGGAAAGTAATCTTTTTGTGCCACTGCATCATGTGCACATAGCAATCCCTGGATATGAGGCTTTTGTAAAATAAGGAACACCTCTTTGGCATCTTCAATAAGTACTGTTTTTGGAGCCATGACATCCAGAACTTCTAAAGCTATCTGCATTGCATTGGACAAAGTTGGATGAAATTTTTCATCTTTCCCATTGTTTAATATTTTATTATGAACTTTTACTAATGCATGTAATTCTTTAGATTGAAGAAGTTCACTCAAGAAGGTAAATTCTTCTTCGGTTGTCGATAAATCGGTTTTCGCTTCTTCTAAAGACGACAATAATTTCGACAGGGCAGGATCCCAGTCTCCAATCGGCATCGCCATCACTTCTAGCATTATAAGATTTGAATATCTCTAACACCAAATCATCTTTGACTAAAAAACAATTTAATAAATATTTGAAAAATTCATTTGTACAAATAATTTTTTTTTTAAATTTAAAAATGGCTTAAAATAGAAAAAACCTATGCATTAAAATAATTTTTAGTTTTATTAATTGTTTTTTTAAAATAGGTATTTATAAGTTCAGGTTTATTTAAAAAATATACACCAATTGCATTCAATTTTCTTAGGAGTTAGTTTTAAACCTACAACCCTATAAGTAAATACGATTACTTGTAAAAAAAAAAAAAATACTTTTTATGTAATTTTGTAGAAAAATTAGAAAATAAAAAAGTTAACGTACGACTTCACTTAAAATTAAAATTAATTAAAAATTATCGATTATAATTATTTTATTTAAAATTTATATTTACCATTTTATTATTGCCATAAAATCAAAATTAATTGAAAATATTTCTACTTAGCCAGATAAAAAATCGCCATTTTTAAAAAGGACCCCTGGCACTGAAAATTCTCCCGGTTTCTAATGATTTCCAATTGATGTGTACTTTTTCGGATTACCTAATGGTTTGCTTCATGCTTATTTATTAAAAATAAAAAAATTTCATTCGAATTATTTATGCAGAATAATAAAATAAATTTTAAATATTATTAAATAGTCGTTCTAAAAAATTTTAAAGTTAAAAAAAAAAAAAAAATTGAAGAAATATTTTTAAATTTACCTTAAAGCTTAGACTTAAATAAACTATTATTTTTATAAAAAATATAATCGTTTACTGTGTTTTAAAAATAAAATATAACTTATTTATTAAAATTTAGTTACTTATAATTAAACAAATAAAGAAAAAAAATTGAAATTTGTTAACGGGGATGAAAAATTAAAAATAGCGGCTAAAAATTGTAGCGCCATTTTTAATTACACCAGACGATTTATTTCCCTATTAAGCAATTGCTGCCCCGATAGCTGGTAAGTTGTCAATTTCTATGCCAATTACAATTGTCAAATTATTTTAAATACATGTAGGGCACTATTTAGATATTTTTTAACAATTAAGAAATAAGTTTTAAGTTTTTATTTTGATTTATTTTGTGTATTGGTTAATTTCCACGACACCTTATTAAAAAAATAAATGTTTTTACAGAAAACATAGATAAAAATGTCAAGACATCGAGAATGGGATTTGTCTTGTAAAGTGTATGTAGGCAACTTAGGGAATAATGGATCCAAATACGAACTTGAATGTATTTTTAGTAAATATGGTCCATTAAGAAATGTTTGGGTTGCAAGAAATCCTCCAGGATTTGCCTTTATAGAGTTTGAAGATCCGAGAGATGCTGAAGATGCAGTACGTGGCCTTGATGGTAGCAGAATGTGTGGTACCAGAGCTAGAGTAGAAATGTCATCAGGGCGGACCAGGCGTAATGCTGCAGGAAGCGGAACTGGTGCCAGTGGAAATAATAATGGTGGTGGTGGTGGTGGTGGTGGCGGCGGAGGAGGAGGAAACAGTGCTCCTTATGGGGGAGGCCGTCGACGTAACGCTAGGTAATTGAAGTCTGTTTGTTATGGTATGAATATAGTTTAATAAACAGGGGGTTCTTAAAACTACATATTTAATTACTAAATGTATATAGTTCTGAAAATTAAATTTCCTTTTCATATGTAAAGTTATTTTTTTGTTAAGCTTTTAATGCTTTTAATGTAATTTGAGAAACTAAGCTTTATTCATGAGTTTTATAAAATGCTATTGCAGGGATCTTTCACTCCCAAAACTTCTCATCACCCCCAACAGCATCTTTTCACTGCAAATTTAAAAGCTGGAGATATTTTGCTTAATCTAGCAAGCATGAAAAAAAAAACTATCAAAAAAATTGAACGATTAAGCAAATAATGGGTCAAACCCTCTGCAATTTAAGTCAGCAAGACAACATTTCAAAATCTTCCCTCCCCATCGAACTCTATTTTGCCAGCACATCAGGACTTCTTGTCTTACTTCAAATTTGGTTACAAGAAAATGTTCATCTTTCCTCATTGTTTAAGTTGTTACTATTGAGAGTAATACCTAGAAAGGAAGGAAGACAGATCTGCCCTGTTGATGAACTGCTCATGCTCATCTTTATCTTCTCAAATATGCTGTTATTCTGGTATGACCCTCTGAAAAGATATTGTAATGGTATGGTCATAATTGTAAAAATATTTCTTGTATAAATTTTTTTGAAATTATGATAGTACCAGTTTCAATTCGGTTTTCTTTCAAATAGAGTTTTGTTAAACACTTACAAGTTTTCTTTATAACTTAGGGTGTGTTTATTCAAAATATTTAATTTTATAAAATAAAATAATATTTTCACATTAGGGAATATTCAAGATCTCCGAGAAAGCATTCTTATAGTAGATCAAGATCCAGGAGTAGAGAATATAGAAGGTCACCAAATGAACGTCGTTCCCCATATGACTACCGTTCTCTTTCAAGAGAATAAGAAATTAATTTGTAAGTATACTAAATATTTTTAAAATAATAATAATTTAAAAATTATATAATTTCTTATAAATGTAAACTGCAAAAAATTTTAATTTAAAATTTACTCGAAAAGTACTTAATTACTTATAATTTCAATTTACATAATTTAGTTAAGAATTTTTCTTTTTTTTTTTTTTTTCAGTTTTTGAATACTAATTTCTTATAATATGAAAATGAAGAAGAAGAAGCTATTAAGAAGAACAAGCATTTTTATGTAATTTTTACTAATTTTTGTTTTATCACATTGATTCTTGTTAAAATAGAGTTAAGAAAATAATTTTAGGATTATTTATAACATACGATATATATATAAAATAATTTTAAAATAATCACATAAGGAAAATATTTAGATTGTCACTCAATAACTTATGTTACACAGCATTTTATTTTTAAAAATTTTGATTTATTAATAATAATAAGTTTATTTCAGTTTCAATAAGTTTTGAAATGTACATCAAAGGTCAAAAAAAAAAAAAATAAAATGTTAAAAAGTAAGAGTGCACACAGTTGATCATTATATTTTACGTCTTGGAGATAAGAAATTTTTATTTATTTAGTAAGAAACTTAATTGTAGTTTAATTAATAGGGAATTTACTATATTTAAAACCCATAATTTTTACTTTAAAAGATTTAAATTTTATAATTATTCTGTGTTTTTACAATTATTTGTTATTATAATTTTGCCTTTAAAAAATATTTTAAAAAAGTAATATACACATATATAAAAATATCAAGTATTTTATAAAGTGAAATTGTCATACTTATCATTTAAAATTTTAAAATTAAATAAAGTTTTGAAAATAAAACTTATTTGTGTTTCTTAATTTCAAAATTTTCATTAGCAGTTACGTAATGACTAATTAAATTAAAATAAATTGTTCTTTACTTAAATATACTGTTACGTTACTAACCTTTAATTAAAGGAAATCATTGTTAGGGAAACGGTTGGTAACTATAAACGGTACTTGGAGACTCATAATTAACAATTTCGGAGGTTCGTTTTATAAGATATACTTATTTAAAAAGGAAATAATTTTGTTCAAATCGGAATATTCACCCATTTAGAAAAAAAAACCGTTGGGCAATTTTTTTTTTTTTTAAATTGGCACCTTTAAAATTACATTTTTTCCTTTAATAGTTGGTATTATTAACGTCATGGCGCATCTTGTAGGTTGAAATTTAAAAATTTTTTAGTTTTTTAAAGACGTTCGTCTTTTAATTTTTATTTATTTAATTTATTATTTTCTAAGTAAGTAAATTTTTTTTTTTTTCATTTATTAAATTAAATTTTATTTTTTTTTATTATTTTATTTTATATTGTTTTTTGTAACAATTAAAATTTTTACCTATATTGAACTGTAAAAAAAAAAAACCAATTATTTTAATCAGAACCATTAATTGCTTTGCCAAAAACGACCTAATTTTCAAGCAGTTCGTTGATTCGAGATTATGTATAAAAAATTAAAATTTGCAATTTTATTAATCAAAAGATTTTATAGCTTTTAAAGTTTATATTTCCATGATTTAGTTTGGTAAATTAATCATCAATTTGTTTCATAGTAATTAAATGTTAAAACTTTATACATTGGTGTTAACGTAGGTGGAAACATAATAAAGCATAAATTTCATTTTAAAATATTTTATCTAAATAGTCATACAATCATAGCTCATTACTAAA